AACATTTTTTCTTATGAACAATAATAAATATCCTTTCAGTTGTTGACTTGTAATGGTTGGAGTTTTAATAATATAAGTAAATTAATGTTTGGGCAATAAGTTTTGTGGTTACATGTTACTGAAACAAGTTTACTAATCTTTTAATCAAAAATAATTAACATTAAAATCTTAAACATTATTAAAAGTCAGAATTTGATTTAAATTTTATTGCTCAAAGACTTCAAATTTTAGAAAATCAATAAGTCGTTCAACTTTTGTCACTTTTGACAGGTTTTCTTGTTTATACATTTAATTTCAGTCTACCATGTGAATACATGATAAGGCAATTTCTAGCAAGTATAGTTGAACCTCGTTATACCGAAGTGTCGGGGGAGGCATCCATGATTCGGTATAACGAGACATTCGGCATAGTGAGGTCCCTCTATATAACGAAGTTAGGCCTAGGGTCAAGCAATATTCGTTATAATGAGACTTATGTGAATAATATTTTTACTTCAATTTACAAATAATTATACTAATCAGTAACAAATAAATCTATTCGAGTTTGTTTTTGCTTTGCAATACTATGCAATTCTACCTTTCTCTTCAACGCACAAAAGGCTTTAAATTCATCGTAATTTATTTCCATGTCATCTTGTTGAAAGGGCGACTACTGCATCTTTAGTAAAGACGGTAGAGAGATTTCGAGCTACTTTCATCATCGCCTTCCTCTTCTTCCGCGGGAAAGAAGGAAGAAACAATTTCGTCATCTGTCACCATTTTCTTGCTTATGTTTCCGTTGTCAATTGTTATATAATCCGTGGCAGATAATGGAGAATCAACTGATAAACTGTCAATCGAACTCTGAATAGCTAGTTGCTGTTGGACGTAATGCTAGTTATTATATTACTTGCTTTTTCGATTCTTTTGTCAAGTAATTCATTATCCCATGCTTTAGCAACAAAATCTACTGCTTTTAAAATATCAGACTTGGCCGAAATTGTTTTGCAAGATCAATGTTTTTGGCTCTGGCACGTTTTTCTTTAACAAGCAAACTTCGCGCTTTTGCAACGTCGAAATAGTGTTACGTTGTTTGGTTTGTTGAAAAGATAGAACTCTCGTTGTTTACAGTATAGCGGTCATAAGTATCCTTGTATCGCCTAAACGTACATAATAATAACCCCTTAAATTTTCCAGAAAAAAAGTATAAAATAATGCATAATCACACACACTTTTTACAGGTTTGTAACTCATTTTTAAGGGAGTCAGATAAATTGTCAAACGTTTGACTTAAAAAATAATGTGCATAAGTATTATACTCCTTCTAATTCGAGACAGAACCGAGTAAACGCTTTAGAATTTTCACTGCGTATAGTAATAGCGTATCACCAACCTTGATTACCTGTAAAATTTCAGCTCATCTGCAGCAGATTTCCAAACATTCAACATTTGTCGCTAATGTATATGAAACATATCAAAACCGCATTTGCTCTTTTTAACATAAACTTCAAAAATTCATGTCCCATACATTTCTAACCAAATTTCGTGGTTTTTTTTTATTTTGTTTGCCAAATATGTCTTTACATGTCCTTTAAAATGTTAGTCGAATAAGATGGAAATCATGGTTTATAATTGGAAATAGACGTGCAGGATTAGGATATCATTAATATCATCATGTAGCACGATTATTTGTATTCTGTAGTAGCAACCGCAACAGCAATTCGTTCAATAATTATATAGATGCATTCTACTAATACGGAAAAACAAAATATAAAAAAACTTTATATTTTGTTAGAAAAGTGTCGAGATATGAATTTTTGAATCTTTATGGCCAAAATCGCGCATAGGATGATACATCTTGAAGTAAAACTTTGAAAGTCTGAAATTTTTACTGAAGACATCCGATTGAGTTGAACTTTTACAGGTAATAATGCACTATTTGCAGGAAATTTTTCAAAGCGTTTACTCATTTGTATCCCGAATTAGAGGCGGCAGAATACTTATGACCGCTACTGTATATGGCAATTTGTTAATGATAAAATTATTTCCCTAAACTATATTTACGTCTCAGAATTAATCGTACGATCGAAATTGCATAATGGAACAATATGTGCGAGTATCATAAAAACATGATGACATTTAAAAAACAGTAGATACGAAATACGGCTGAAATCGTACGATCAAAATATTGGCACACAAATATGACAGCTAAAATCGTACTATTAAAAATCTTAATAAAGACGGAAATTATTGCTATCGGTAGTTTGACACAAGAATTATTAATCATTGTTTATTTATAACTCTGAAATCGTATGATGCGAAATCGTATGACCAAAAAATCGTATGATCCTCATCTGCTCAACCAATCACTATTCTACATTTTTATCACGTGAAACTTCGGGTTCGACTGTACATGAAAATGTGATAAAAACATGGCAGTATGTCCACTTACCGTAATTACTATTGTATATCGCCTATAACCCAGCCAGAATATAACTTTAATGAGATTGTGTAATCAGGTTACGTGATTATTTGTAGATCGTAACCAAACATTCATCTCATTACGTTAGATCATGTGAAGATAGACGTGAATTGGTTTCAGATCATCAGAACTTACTAACTGTTTGTAGCAATCAATAAAATAGAGTATGTTGTCGGGAATAAGAAGGCGAATTAACTCTACAAGCTAGATCCCGAGTAACTGCATAGCAAGTACTGGGCGATCTTCGATCAAAGGGCCTACTTCTATTAACTTTGACAAGATCCTCATCTTTGAGATACCAAATTTAGTTGTAAGATAATAAACGTTGGGGTCTGAGTTGAGTAGTTACCAGGATAAAATCTCGATCTCTTCTGATGAGAAGGCTTTTTAAGTATCTGCAAGAAAAATCCACAAAGATAATGACAGATTCTATAGAACTGTACTATACCTCAATCGGTAGCTCCCCCTTTTATTAAAAATTTGCTTGATTAAGTAATGTCAGCGGTCAATAATATTCTATTGGCCTGTATTATTAGCATTATGGTTTAAAAGATTACTCATCTTTGTATACAAATAGAAATTTCCAAATTTTAATAGAAGGAACTAGGCAAAACAATCGCTCTCATGTAAATGGTACCTAACCCAGGAACGTAAAATTTATTAAAAGAATGAGTGTTAATGTAGTTTGCTCGAGAGCCAAACTGCCAGAGTAAGAGGGAAGAATACCACCATAAAAATATTGTTGATATTTATAACTTGTAAACAAAATAAGCAACCAAGATTTTTTATCACGCGGCATTCATTCTATATAATACCATTGTTGGTTATACGATTTTGAATATTTCAAACAAGTGCAACCAATTCCGTCATGTATTTGGCAGGTGGAGTACTGCCGCCATACGAATACAGCATTTCGGTATTAATAATCCAAAATCTATGTTATTGTTAATAGCTGCATTTAGAATTGCGCTTTTGGGTTAAATTTGATATTGTACAGACTGATTTCTCGAGCGAGGCCTTTAACAACCAAAGAAGTCTCTGCAAGTGAATATCTTGCTTTGGTTTTAACAAATGGCCCACAGCTTAATAAAAGATTTTGCGAAAATAGTACTGATTGACAAGACCTGTTTAAAGTATTGGTTCGAACATCCCTATTTGTTATACAACAAACGCTGGTTAACGTCTTCCATAATGCCCTTTAGTTGCATAGCGCGTTTAAACTACCGAAATGTAACTTGCTGGACTGGTAGACTGTATTTACCGCAGTTATGAACTATGACAAATGCAGATACCGCTTAACCCAAAATAACTCGGCAGTTTTTCATATATAGCTAACACTATGGGATAAAGAGAACAAAGACATGATTCTGCAGGTTTGAACCTTAATCTTTCTGCCATTATTGTTCACGTTGTCAGGTCTTTGTTGCAATATGTCCATATTTGGTTGTTTACAAACAAAGAAAAAGCTTAATCTGTAACCTGTTCAAGTGGAGAGAACCCGCCCAGTTTTATACGGCTATAAAATGCTTGTAATTTAAATTTATAATCTTTTGTTTGCATGACAATAAATGTGTAGAAAAGCGTTCTAGTGATTGAATTAAAAATTGCGCAACAGAAATAGAAAATGAGGTGGGTTTGCAAAACCCCCCCCCTCCCCCCTGACAGCTGATAACGTGATACACGCACCGTTAATTCTCATTGCCCGGAATTTACCCATCAAAGACACCCGATTGCGTTCCAGATATGAGAGAATAGGGGTGAACTGATGCTTCGGTTATGCTTCCGTTTTTGTATCGCGACTTAATATAGTATCGATATATGTATTGTGGCATAAATACGTAATGCGTAACACTTTCATGTTGTCATAACTTCCGCTCGCCTTCCTTTCCAGCCCCCTTCAATCATCTTTCTTTGCCCCCTGATTCACAACCCCCATATATGGATAATATTATATGTTAGCTGCACCTTGTTTTATGTACCTTACTTTAAAATGAATAGTATTATAACACAGGTACAACGGGGAAAAGATATGAAAACAAATAAATTAGTACCGTTAACTTGAGACCATATGAGACTTTGCTTTCTGAATTAACGTCCAGCCTCGATTTTTACGCTTGGGTTATATCGTTGGGTTAGTATTTTACATGTTCGCTCGATCGTGGATTGGAGAGGACATCCTAATTAATGGAGCGTCCAATAGTGGGTGGAATATAAGAACAAATAAGGAGATAAATTATCATAAATATTCAATCTATTTCGCCCAGTAAACATTAACATCCTATTGAGGGATAATTCGTAACTTTCTTGTTTGATGCTGTTTGTCATTAACCAAACTTAATTTTGTGAATAAACAGAATACGATAAATAGATAAACAAGCTACATACCCAACGATACTGGGTGAACAACGGATTAACGTCGGCTACTATAACAACTGTTATATTTCGCTAGCCTCTTTTCTCAAACACTCCGTTCGACTTGCTTATTCGTCTCCACGATAGTAACCCTTAACGAAGCGTAACCCTTAATATCATAAACATAATGGTAATGATTTGAGACACTTGTAAATTCGCTTGAACGTCGAACGAGAAATCGATGTGTAGAACTTTTAGTTGAACAAGAAAATTTAGTTGGGCCGTGTAGAATTTTGTCGTTAATTATTAATTCCTCTTTTCCTCCATAGACACGCAATGACCCTGAGGATACATATACATTACTCGAGAAACTCGGAACTGGGTCATTTGGAACCGTATACAAAGCGTAAGTGTGACATCTGTATCTTTCAATACATGGTAGATCATCTACTCACACTCTCCTTCTCTCTCTACACACAGCATAAACAATGAAACGAAAAGGATCGTTGCAATAAAGCAAATTGATCTCGAAGACTCTGATGATGATATATCAGAGATTCAACAAGAAATAGCTCTCCTCTCCCAATGTGACAGCCAATATATCACTCGATATTATGGTTCATTTGTTAAGGGGTTTAAATTATGGATTGTAATGGAATACTTATCAGGTGGATCCTGTCTGGATCTATTAAAGCCAGGAACGTTTGATGAGCAGCAGATTGCTATTGTATGCAGAGAGTTATTGCTTGGACTGGACTATTTGCACCGCGGGGGGAAAATCCACAGAGATATCAAAGGTACGAAGTAATAGGGTGTGATGAGTCAAGGGTCGATAATGTTGTTGTTAAAGTATATTTACGGTCGTTGTGTAGCCGCAAATATTCTGCTCTCGGCTGAAGGAAAAGTCAAACTCGGTATGTGTCTGTCATAACCTTGTCTGTTTGCATGTCTGTGTATGCATTTACCCCTACAGACTTGATACTGATACGCATTCGTCCATATAAGCGGATTTCGGTGTTGCTGCTCAGTTGTCTAATAATAAGAGCAAGCGTAACACATTTGTCGGAACTCCTGTGAGTCTTTAGCAAATATGTTTGTGTCCTTGATAAAAAAAATAATGATTTTAACATTTACCCTTATTATCCTTGTAGTTCTGGATGGCACCAGAAGTTATTCGACAAGCAGGATACAACTACAAGGCAAGCGAACGAAAAAAAATCAAATACACGAACGCCCACAGATAATTCGACTTTTCATTAACTCTTTTATTCATTTTCATTTTTTAGGCAGATATCTGGTCTCTTGGCATAACGGCGATGGAGCTAGCAAAGGGAGAACCACCATTGGCAGAATATCACCCAATGCGAGTTCTCTTCCTTATCCCTAAAGCTAAACCGCCGGTATTAGATGGTCCATTTTCAGCCGCATTCAAAGATTTTATTTCTTTGTGTTTAACGAAAAAGCCAGAAAATGTAGGTTTGGACTTTCTGTAGTTTGATATCATTTTGTTGGCGCATGACTTTCGCATTGCCCACACCTGTTAAAATCTCATTCTTTGAAACGTTTCATAGCGTCCAACAGCAGAAGAGCTTCTTCGCCATCGATTTATAAAATCAGCTCGTCAAACGACATACCTCCAAGATCTAATAGACCGACTAGCAGAATGGAGAGCGCGTGGTCCAGCAAGAGAAGAATCTTTATACACACCAACAGTCATAATTAATAATCGTGATAATCCAACGTGGATTTTTGACACAACACGCAGTCAAGTATCTGTTAAATCAGTAACGAGCGATGGCTCTAGCACTGGCATATTCGAATATGAAGAATCCGTTCACACTCATCTGGAAAACGGCACCTTGTCATCTACTACCTCATCTATTTCTTCATCTACTTCCTCATCCATTTCTTCATCCACTTCCTCATCCATTTCTTCGTCCAACTCGACTGTAAGACTAGCGGCACTCGATCGACAGGGAGGCGTAGCTATGGCTGCTCGGGCTGGTATTATGCCAAACCATCGTGTTAACAATAATCCTATCACACTTGATGCTCCGACGAACAATTCTATTCAAGCACGATCCGGATCGGGTACGTTACGTCCTCCTAGACAGTTTAGTCTAGGGGGAAGTTCAAATTCGGGGAGTTCGCTCTCGTCGTATCCTCGAAGTGTACAGATTGCAATGCCCGAGACTAGAGAGGGGTTTGCTGGGAGGCAGTTGGTGCAGGAAGTTGTTATTCCAGCCATTGCTGCAGTAAAGGCTAATGAATTGAGGGCATCTGAACTTGAGGCGTTGAGTATGCTTGAGAAAGGAGTTGAGGATTTGGATCACATTAACCCCGAGTTGGTACTTAATGTCGTTAGCGAGATGCTGTCTAGGATCAAACTGTATGTTATTGATATTTGTTATTAGTATGTAGTTGGATGTATTATATAAACAATATCACTCACATCATTCTTTCTTCCTTAATTCCGCTCAGTAATGAACAATTGTCCAACAATCTGAGCGATCTTGGAATTCTTCCGACTAATGCATTCGCCACAGCGCAAAGTCAATTTCCACCCACCCCTACAGAATCTTCTGTCACATCTGGGAGCAGTAATGACGTTGCTGAAGCATCGCTATCGTTTATGGACGCTGAGAGCATTGAAAAGAGCGAGTTATCCAGTCCACCAGATAAGCCGCCCAAATCACCTATAACGGAACTGTTATTCTCGAAATGGATCGAGCCATTAAAACAGAAGTGGTCATGAGTCGAATGGGGATTTTTTGTGTGATATTCATCTAAGCGCGGGTTATAAAAAAAGTATTGTTTTTATGTGATAAATTAGGCTGGATTTTTCATGTAGTGTTAGTTATTTACATTCATTCTTTGAACACTGTAACGGGTTTTGTTATTCATTTTCTTCATTTGTATTATATTAACTGAGATAACTATCAACTGTATAACTCCCTATTCAATGGCGGTAGTATATGGGGTCGTGATGCAAGAAGGAATATAGTATAGTGTTTGGAAGATTTCGGGATATTGGATGTCAAGCGCCACAGATTCTTCCTACGCAATCCATATTTGATTTTTGTGACTACGGAAACCAATTGATTAAAAGCGAGGATCTGTAATAATGTTTATCCAAATCACCTTTTTTAAAGGAGTATTTTTGCGGTATGTGCAAGCGTGGCGGTTATGACGACATGTGCGTGTCATCATTACGTTAGAGGCAGGGAGACTATGAATTTAATCTCCTACCTCTGCTAATTTCGGCAATTGCAGATATTTAGTCCCTTGACCACTATTACTATATACAAACAAACAGATTTCCGTCGAGCATATGAAATATCATTTAAACTTCCTGGTTCTCTTTTCGCCCGGAATCTGGTTAATAATATTATGGGGTAAATGGCGACTTTTTAAGTTTTTTTCGGGTGCAATACGTTACGTTTT